GTAGTTGTGGAATGAAGCGCCATCTCCTGGTAAAACCTGAATTGAAAATCTGGCAACGCCCTCTTGAAAATAGTGGGAGGGCTTACATTCCTCTATTCGGTTTTAGGCCAGGAGGTCGTAAGGTCAGGAAGCTGTAAGCTGGAGTCTGCAATTCAGGTGCTACATCTTTACATATCAGGTGTCTAGTCACTTACAATACAAAGATCGATGACAATAATCAGTAAAATAGTGCTGAATAAGGCTACAACTGGACATGGAGAGGATGGTCGACCTCCCTTGTCACTAGCTGGCAGGGTTAATTCTGTTAAAATGTGAACGGATGAGATTCCCGCAGTCTTGTCTGTAAAGTGGAGCAGCATTCAAGTAATCCAGTGTCACTTTGCTCCTTTAATTGGCGCTCCACTACCCTTGAACGTTAAAAACTACTGACGTAACCTCAGTCAGTCCAAGGCGCTCTAAAGATATGGACTCAGTTTGAATTCATTTCAAACACAAACAGGCACTATGCTTCCCAATTCTGGAAAATGTAAATGTTCTCCTCTCTCACTGACACATATTTTTCGGTTATGGCATGGACGAGGGATTGGTGTGTTAAAGATCTTTTAAAAAATGTACCTTTATTTCTTTTGAACAGTTAAAGAACGGATTTCAATATCCCACAGTCGATGTTGTTCTTCAGATGATTTGCAGATACGTAGTTAAGTGTCAGGACCACAGAGTACCTGGATTGAGGGACTGTTTAAATATGGATCCCGTGTGACCCAGGGGTCTGATGTCTTGTATACTAATGACAGATATTCGAGGGCCCGCCCGTCTAATCACTTAATGAGGCAATGGGAGAAGCAGCTGGAATAACTACTATCAAGATATCTATTTTGGCAGGCAGCAATTCAATTTGTCCACTCATCCTCAAGTGTGCATAGCATGGGCTGCTACAATTTAAGTTGCAAGGTTACATCTATCTGCAAGTAAACTGGCCAGATTTACCCAGGTTAGAAACCAACCTGCATCAGGTGCAGTCGGCGACCCGCCAGCCTAAGCACATGTTTGGTCTCTGTCTTTACTGGCCCCCCTTTGGAACTAGGTATATTTAAAACCTTTCGTACATGTGTAACACGGCCTGTGGATGCAACCCAATTGACGGCATTATTTTGGCGTGGTCACACAGGAGACCACGAATACACTAACTGATCAGATGTGCCTGAGGCGTGGCATCTCTACCCTACTTGCTAAACGCTTGAACTCTTTAGATTTGGATGAAGGCGTGCACCGCCGTTCTCATAAGTGCTGGCGTAAAAAGTATGTCCCATTTAAACTTGAGCAGCCTAAAGCCACTACCCGGGGCTCTATCTCAAAGTACTATAAGCTGGCAACCATCTTCGTCCTAGTATGAGAAACGAATTCTCTAACATTAAAATTAACGTAGCAACCCCCTCTCCGACCCCGCCCCCCCCACATTTGTTTTTTATTCATGTATGTTTTCATTTTCACTTTTGGTATTTTAACCATGGACTTGTAGTTTTTAAGTGAATCATGTATGTTGTATGTTATTCATAATAATATTTGTATCTCTTATGGATGTCAATTGATATTTTGTATACTTTTATGGTGTGTTCGCTGTATTTTGACATGTTGAGTGCTGCTGTTTGCTGTATGGAAAATCAATAAAAATATTTGAATAAACAAAAAAAAAAAAAAAAAAAAAGAAGTAATCGGAGCTGAGGTGGACTTAGTTGGGGAGGCAATGACATCGTTCAAGTATATTGCACAGGAAGGGGAGATTTGAAAGATGGTGCCGGAATTGGACATGATGTCGGGTGTGAGTCCAGGTCTTTTGAGACGTAACAATAAAACTGATTTTTCCATTAATAAATAGGAATGGTCCCCTGAAGATGGCTGTGATTGGAAGGCTAAACTTAACAGAAGGCTTTTTACTAGTTTGCCAATTACATCTATCATGAGCCCACACAAACACCACAGAGCATCTTGCTACCGCGGCATCCAGACGAGGGGCGAAGGTGCACACAACAGGACTCTCTGATGCGCTGTCAGGCTCTGCCAAGCAGGATGTGGCTTTATAGAAGGGTGGGTGGTGGTTGTGTGTGTGTGTGTTGTGGTGTGTGGTGTGTGGGTGTGTGTGTGTTGGTGTTGGTGTGGTCTTATAGATGCACACTGTGGGTTTTAGCAGCAGAATGAATCTCATCAGGGCGACCAGCACATACAAGTTGCAAGAAAAAGTATGTGAACCCTTTGGATTACCTGGATTTCTGCATAAGTCTGGTCATAAAAATGGAGGAAGCCACTGCTGTCCAGAAAAAAACATTGCTGCACGTTTGAAGTTTGCAGAAAGGAGCACCTGGATGTTCCACAGCACTACTGGCAAATTATTCTGTGGACAGATGAAACCAAAGTTGATTGTTTGGAAGGAACAACACAACGCTATGTGTGGAGAAAAAAAGCACAGCACACCAACATCAAACACTCATCCCAACTGTGAAGTATGGTGAGGGAGCATCATGGTTTCGGGGCTCTTTGCTGCCTCAGGGCCTGGACAGATTGCCATCATCGACGGAAAAATGAATCTCAAGTTTATCAAGGACAGTTGGCTGGAGAACTTCTTAAGGCCATCTGTCCACCACATTGAAGCTCAACAGAGAGATGGGATGCAACAGGACAACGACCAAAGCACAGAAGTAAATCAACAACCGAATGCTTCAACAGAAGAAAATAATACGCCTTCTGGAGTGGCCAGTCAGAGTCCTGGAACCTCAACCCAATTGAGATGCTGTGGCATGACCTCAAAGAGAGCGATTCACACCAGACATCCCAAGAAATTGGCTGGGAACTGAAACAGTTTGTAAAGAGGAATGGTCCCAAAATCTCCTGACAGTTGTGCAGGTCTGATATGCAA